TGCTGCTGCTGAGGCCCTTCGGCCTGGATTCTGGACTTGGACGTCTGGATCTGGACTGCCCCTCAGACATAAACCAGAACCGGGACTCTGTTCATTGACTTACTTTTGAACAGGCACAACTTTGGACGAACAGACACACTTACTGCCTGAACAGACATCTGTATTGTGGGAATGGACACTCTCCTTTTGCACGAACAGACACACTGACTACACGTACAGACACACTCCTATCTGAACAGACATGACATGTGCATCCCCTGGCAAACAGGTATGACCTTCGGCAATGACCTTTGGCACTGACTTCCTTCTTTAGTTTAGATGTGTCCTTTGACCAGAGAACTTGACTTTTGATCTGTTTTCTCGTTTCCAGGGTCCTGGCGAGATACCCCTTCACGCTGCTTCACTTTTACAAGACCTGAATCGGGTAAAGGCCCTTTTACTCTCGCCGGCCTAATTTCGAGGTCCTTTGAGAAATCAATTATCTATCAATAATATGAATTCCTTTCTTTGCTCTCTCATATGCAGACACAATATGAGGTGAAGAATCCAATAACTCTTCCCTTGTAAACCAACGATCTTCACTGGGATCCTGGTATGCAAATCTGACCTTATATTGACGATGTGGTCTGCCTCTACGACCAGTGTGAAAGGTGCTTTCTGCAACAATTTTGTCCACGTCATATTTACCATCCATACTTGGAGGTATCGCTGATCTGCGACTCGGAAATAGCTCATTTGTTACACAAGGCAAAAGCTTTGATGCGTGGAACACTGGATAAGTATGTAGATGCAAAGGAATCTCAATGACATACGAGGGACCATCCACATCTCACATCTAAGACCTGCCAAGGTCCTATGTAGGCGGGTAGAAGCTTTTGAGAAATGTTCTCTTCAGGAGCAAACTCCTTAGACTTCACCCAAACCAAATCTCCTACAGCAAATTGAGAGGGACGTCTGTGCTTATTCGCCTGTTCAATCATTTGATGTTGTGCTTTGATTATATTCTCCTTTACCTTCTCAATGTCTTTCTGATATTGAATCGCGAATTCACTTGTCCCTGGTGGAAGCTTATGCACTTGATCTGGGTTCACACGATCAATTGGTCTACGTGGTCGCCATCCCAAATGTAACTCCATAGGAGTCTTACATGTAGATAGGTGTACAGAGTTGTTATAGGCACTAGCAACTTTAGGCAAATGTTCATCCYAGTCGATCTGGTCGGGACGAATATACATGCGCAATGTTTGCTGCAAGATCTTATTCATCTGCTCAGTTTGGCCGTTAGTCTCAGGATGTCTTCCTGATGACATAGTCAACGTAGAGCCATAAACATTCATTAGTTGCTGCCATTGTTCACTCGTGAACTGGTATCTCCGTCACTTACAATAGTCAAGGGATGTCCAAAATCTTTCACCCAGTGATTAAAGAACCCCCGAATTACTAAATCAGTCTTTGCTTCCGAAGGCAAAGCTACAAAGACAGCACACTTAGTGAATCTATCAACGATTACCATGACTTGCGTTTTCCCATTCCTGCTTTTCACTTTAGTGTCCATGAAATCTATAGACACAGAGTCTCCGGGTCCTGTTGGGATAGGTAAAGGCTTAAGCAAACCAAGGGGAGATTGCGTAGTGCTCTTATTTCGTTGGCACACTTGGCAACCTTGCACATAAGCAAGGCAATCAGGTTCATTCGAGGCCAGGTGTAAGAACGTAAAAGGCTCTCATAGGTCTTCTTCCACCCAAAATGGCCTTCGGTATCATGGCATTCCACTAAGATCACACTCTTGATCTCTTCCACATTCGGTATGCATAGCCTATCATACACATCAGTCCTTTCAAACAATAAGCCCTGAGTAATCTTATGATTAAGAAACTTTGTTGGTGCTTCTTGCACACGCTTAATCATCGCACCATTAACAGGATCAGAGGGATATGCATTCCTAATCTTTTCTTGTAAATCGACACCAACATCTAGGTATGTCACAATGGCACCGAAAAAGTCAGATCTACGACTTAGTGCATCAGCAACAACGTTGTACTTACCCTTTACTGGCTTTAGCTCAAAATCAAATAGATCAATTTTCGCAGCCCACCTTGTCAACTTAGGTGTCATTCGAGCTTGCGTTTTGAGCCAGCGAAGTGTTTCATGGTCGGAGTATACCTTAAAATGCCTTCCCAAAAGATAGTGTCGCCAATGATTGAGAGCCTCACAAAGAGCATACAATTCCCTCTCATACGTCGAAGCGGCCACTTTCTCATTAGGTAATCGACAAGACATAAACTCCACAGGTCTGTATCCATGTCCATCATCTTGCTGGAGTGCAGCACCTATACCATATTGACTAGCGTCGGTTGTGACAACAAAAGGTAATGAAGGGTCTGCTACCTTTAAAACCGGGTAGTTGATTAAACACTTTTTCAGACGTTTGAACGACATCATGCAATCTGAATCCCACTTCCAAATTGCCTCTTTCTTGAGTAACCTACGGAGGGGAGCAGCTATTATCGTGAAGTTTTCTTACGAACTTCCGATAGTAGTTGGCTAGCCCAAGGAACGACCGCAACTCAGTCAAAGTGCGGGGGTTCGGCCAATCTCTGATTGCTGCTATTTTTGCATCTTCCGGTTTGACCCCATCTCCATCAATCACATGGCCCAAGTACAAAACCTGACGCTTGGCCCATTCACACTTCTTTGGGTTTAACTTGAGTTTTGCTTCTCACAACTTATTTAGCACAAGTCGAAGGTGCTCAATATGTTCCTTTTCATCTTTTCTAAAAATCAAAATATCGTCCAAATAAATAACAACGAATTTATCAAGCCATTCACGAAAAAGTTCGTTCATCGTTCTTTGGAAAGTGGCAGGGGCATTTATTAGACCAAAGGGCAAGTCTATGAACTCATAGTGCCCATACCTTGTCCTGAAGGCAGTCTTATATTGGTCCTCCGGTTCTACCTCAATCTGATGGTAGCCGGATTTCAAATCAATCTTTGAAAATATCTTGCAACCCTGTACGCGATCCAGCAAATCATCTATTTGTGGTAATGGTTCAACATTTTTCACCGTTATATCATTCAATCTCCTATAATCTATGCATGCGAACGCCGCCATCCTTCTTAGGTACAAAGAGTACAGGCGCACCATAGGGCGAGGAACTAGGTTTTATCCACCTATTCTTCAATAGCTCATCGAGCTGGGTTCGCAGTTCGTCCAATTCTTTGGGTGACATTCGATAGATTGGCCCTTTTGGAGGTGAACTCCCTGAAACAATGTCAATGCGGTGCTTAATTGGTCTTTCTACCACACCACTTGGGGCTTCAGCCACATCTGCGAACTCTTTCAATATTCTTTCAATTTCTTGGGACTTAACCTCTTCCTTACTTTCCCCCTCCTTTACTGGGCGTACATATGCAACAAAGACTTGATCATGCAAGTTATATCTTTTCACATGGCGAGCGAACACTTGGGCACTCATGCAACAATGAGCTAGGTTGCTTTCCTTTCCTGATTCATGATAGAGACAAATTTTCTTTTTGCCTCCTTGCAGACTTGGGAGCTAACATTCCTGGTCCCTTAGCTTTAGATCCGCATTCGCAGCCTCACCCCAATCCATGCCTAACAACGCATCAAAGGGCAAGTTATCCTCCACCAAGAAGGTCAGAGAGTGGAGAACACGTTCCACCTTCCCCTCTGCCTCGAGCCGAAAGTATACTTAAACCCCCTCGACGTATCGATCCATGACGATTTCACTACTATTAGCTAACTTACTTACAATGGGCTCATTCAATCTCTTAACTTTAAGCCCAAGATGCAGTTTTTGCAAACCTTTCTTACTAATGTAACTGCGTGTAGACCCACTGTCTATCAAACCTCCTACTCTTACTTTGTTTATTTCAAGATCTGCAATTATTAACTGTCCTTTCTTCTTTTTCACTTTAGTCCAGGCTTGGCGACGAGCGGCCAACTCATCACCCACGCCAGCGAGGGATCCATCTAGAGAGATGCATACGTTTGCCATCTCTGGACAGTGCACTAGATGGGGACTGGTTCCTTCCTCTTCAGTCTCTGCCATTGGGGCCTTCGGATGGGAGGATGCTGATTTTTCAACATTCGAAGCCCCGGTAGAGGCAACTGGAACCTCTACTGGCTGTTCCCTTTTGCTCCCCTATAGTCGGGGCAATAGGGGACAGTGTGGTTGGGGTCCCCACATTTGAGACACTGATAGGCTTTCTTTCTTTCTTGCCAAACCTGCTCAGTGATTCCCAGTTTCTTCCAAGGCTCACCTTCGGGAAGGCCGGGATGAGGCGGGTAAGGTTTATCCCAATTTCCAAACCATGCGCCTCTTCCTCTACCCTAGGTGGAATAAGTCCCACGGCCACCTTGCGAGGGACCATTTCCCCTTCCTCCCACGTAGTGGCTTCCTTCGCCACCACCCCTCTGGGTGCCTGATCCTCGTCCACCACGGCCGCGACGTCTTCCTCGGCCACACCCTCTTCCTTGACGCCCTCCCCCGCGGGCTACAACGGCCGCATAACTCCCCTCCTGAGTTATCGGTCCACTGAGTTCGTCGAGTCCATAATCTACCTGATCCCAGGAGATGGTCTCGACGCCTCCTTCTTCAAAGGTTAGAAGGAGACTATCCTTCCCAGGTATAGACCCTGAGATAGTGCGGTTTTGCCACTTCTTTCCCGCTTGCAGATCTTTCCAGTAGTGGCAGTAATTTGCTTCGGCGAGGAAGCCAGCATGATCTATCGCGATCTTGCTGAACTTCTCGTAAGTCATTCCATCTTCTTTGACACGGGGATAGAGTTGTGTTCGCAGGGGATCAGGAAGTGCTCGCGCAAAGATGTTCAAAATTTGGGCAGGTGTAAGTCCATGGTCGGGGCATTGTAACAATTCGTCCATGGTTGCTTTCAGGGCAGAGGTGCTCTTCCATTTCCTATCAGGGAGGTTGAGGATCAGCATCTCTGTGCGACGTCCTAAGTTCTTGTCCTCAAATCGTTCTCGAACTGCTTTAAGAAAGTCTTCAATCCGAGTTTGTTGTGAGAACTCTACCACTGAGCTGCAACCCGCCTCCTTCTGCACCGAGATTGAGAAGCTCATGGCATCGCTTCCCATACATGAACTCATCATCAACACCCTGTCCCAATATGGGATTCGCTGCCCATATACATATGACTCAATCGCTGGTATCCGGTGTAGAACACTTTCATCCTTTTTCCCGTTATATGTTCATGGCAGTTTAAGTTTAATCTTGCTGACCTGCCCTGCTTCTTGTGGAAGTTTTCCCTTCCGGTCTACATCCCATTTCCCCTTTTTGTCATCATCGCCGTCATCGCCGTCATCGCCGCCATCTCCTCCTGCGTCTCCAGCCCCCTTGACAATTTTTCTATGACCTCTGGAGTGAAGGTCTTAGTGATGTGTTCATCTAAAGCCCTGATATAGGTCTGGATGTGCTGGTCCACGTCCTTTGCTGATTTTTCCAGGAGGTTGTTCCAAACAGTTTCAAACTCACTCCGATGAGTTTCTACCTTCTGTAACGTCCGATGCATTAAGACCATTTCTTGCCTTGTGTTGAGGACGGCCTCTCTGAGGAGAGCAAGTTGTTCATCTGTGGCAGGTGGTTTATCCTTTTGAGCTTCTAATTCTTTCTGCAACTTCTCCCCCTCTGCCTGCAGCCTCTTTTTCTCTTCCAATTCTTGCCTCTTGGCTGCTAGCAATTTGTTATGCAGGTCGGCCCTCTTCTCCTCCAACATCAGATTTCGTTCAGCTAAATCAGTGACAGTGGACAGCCTGGCAATGAACACATCTCGCTCTTCTTCAGACTCACGTAATGGTTCGCTGGTGTAGGAATACTGACCAGCCCAGTCCAGCGGTTCAACTGGAAGCCGGTTCGCTGCAGCATCAGTACTCTCAGGTATGTCAAGGCGACGACGTCTTTCTAAAGTCTCCCCTTCTTCCTGTTCTTCTTCCTCTTCTTCTTCTTGGATACTCTTCAGTTCTTCTTCTAATTCCTTCTCCATCTTTTCCTTCAGCTTCTTTTTTGCTTCTTCTTCTTTCTGTTTCTTCTTAGCTTCTTTCTCTTTCTTCTTCTCTACCAACCTGCGGTCAATTTCTGCCTGTTCCGTAGGTGTGGGTCCGAGTGTTACTGTCCCAGACCTGTGGGTCCGAGTGTTACTGTCCCAGACCGAAGTAATACACGGGACGTGCATACGCGTCCAAATCCCAGTGGGAATATCAACCGGAACAGTGGGCCCAACAGGACAAAGAGGGCCAACAGGCCCTGGATGGGATAGTCATCCATGGTGATGATCGGCACAGAGGATCCTCCGCCGGTTATCCCACTCAAACTTGCTTACTATCTCAGTCAGTCTTCACTTGTGGCGAATGGAGTACTGGATTTTTTTATCTTTTTATTTTTTTAACTATGGAAGGTGCTGCACACGATGAATACTTCAATCAAACTTAATATATATATGTTTTTCTTCTGCTGCTGTCTGGCGTTCCTGGATCAGACTCTTGTAATGTGTTTCCTGTATCTCGCTGTACTTCCCCCTCTATGCTTTATGTGTTGGACTAACTAGCGTTGGCTGTTTGGATGCAGGTATGGAGTCAAAGCGCAGAAGTGTCAGATGCAGATGTTACACGTAGTCAACCAGGCAATAGTACTTCGCTCAAATTTTTCTTTCTTTATGGCTTAATTAACCCTATGGATGCTCATCATCATACTTGCACTGCCTGGTACTTGCGATCTGACGTGGCACATAGCCACTCCCTACATCAATTTGCAGTCCCCTGGTGTCCCAACACAGCCTACCTATCGAGAGGGGTAGGAGAGATGACTCTAACTCCACTTACAGCACACTGACCACCCAATCTAACGTGACCAGATCCTGACACACTGCATTGGACCACCCAGATTCTGACGACTCAGACTCTGACGCGTTATGGTGATCCAGATCCAGACTCGACTCCAGACCAGCAGCAGTCACCTTCAGCGGGGAAGGGAGAGAAGGTAGGGGACACACACATGCATGAAGGTCAAGGGGCAAGAGGTGCTTCTCTCTTGTTGAAGAACCTTCGATATCGCTCCTCGTCGCGCAGCACGCTCCAGGTAAGTATCATAAGCCCCTTCTTCTTCGGCCTGCTCCCACTACTAACAAACTCCCTTCCTCCTACTAGTCCTCCATCACCACACTTTGATGCTTTTCCACGCCGGCCTTGATCATGCCAGCGCTATGAGTGCAACGAGCTTGGCTCCGATACCAAATTTTGCATGGGTCCTGAAGACCAACTCACGCAAGAGTGTTCACAACATGTGCCATCGCCATACACAATGAATGGAAAACTTCCCACACTTGACAAAGAGGTAAGAAGAGAGCCAAGTTGCGCAGCTTATATTATCAAAAACATGTTTACAAAGATTGTCATAGTTCCCTGAGTTCAAGCGCTTATCAGCGCAATACGAATCTTTCATCCAACTCATCAATGTGACTTCTACACATCAGCGCCACCTCTGCAGATCATATCCAACTCAGGTAAGTAATCACCATAGCCGAACCTTTCTTGCACACTCTTTGTCTCAGTTCCTTCTCCCTACTATGCATGTACACTCTCTTCTCTCAAGGATCTACTCTGAATGCCACTCATAGAAGACTACTACTAACCCTCTAAWCTATTACTAACTTGCTGGKMAGCTATGGCTKCTTCTATCTCCARCGCCCARCCTTCTTCCCTTGTCTAGCGCATCTTCATCCTCCAGCGCTGCTCCTCCTGGCTGGCGCACAAGTGCTTCAGCACTTCCACGCGCAGAATGCCAGTAGAGATCTGCGCCAAATGAGGCTGGCTGCTTCTTTTATAGTGTTGGCCTCCTCTTCACTAGGTCTGCATTGGCTCATTCAGGCCTTCCTTTGTCGCAGACCCCTGCATTGCATGTGTCCCAGTACCGTCCCAATGAGGTCTGCTGCTGCTGAGGCCCTTCGGCCTGGATTCTGGACTTGGACGTCTGGATCTGGACTGCCCCTCAGACATAAACCAGAACCGGGACTCTGTTCATNCCCTCAGACATAAACCAGAACCGGGACTCTGTTCATCGACTTACTTTTGAACAGGCACAACTTTGGACGAACAGACACACTTACTGCCTGAACAGACATCTGTATTGTGTGAATAGACACTCTCCTTTTGCACGAACAGACACACTGACTGCACGTACAGACACACTCCTATCTGAACAAACATGACATGTGCATCCCCTGGCGAACAGGTATGACCTTCGGCAATGACCTTTGGCACTGACTTCCTTCTTTAGTTTAGATGTGTCCTTTGACCAGAGAACTTGACTTTTGATTTGTTTTCTCGTTTCCTGGGTCCTGGCGAGATACCCCTTCACGCTGCTTTACTTTTACAAGACCTGAATCGGGTAAAGGCCCTTTTAATTTTATGATACATTAAATAAATAAAAATTAAAATATATATTTTTTAAATTAATAAAAAAATTTAGTTCGTTAAACTTGAGTTCGTTTATTTTTGCCTCTTTTAATTAACGGATAACCTCCGAACCCCATCCCAACGGGGGGAGGGAAATTGCTGCCGAATTTTTTTCAAAAATTTTTCTTTTAATTCAAAATTTTGACAATTAATTAAAAAAAAAAATTAAAAATATCTAAAAATCAAGTAAAAATCAAGTAAAAATCAAGCTTTCTCCTTTGTGATATTCTACTGGGTTTTCGTCGTTTCGGCAACGTTATTTGAGGGACTTGTCCCGAACCCCATCCCAACGGGGAGAGGCGGAACGCTGCCAAAATTTTCGGGAATTCCCCAAAATTATTCTAGGACCCTATAAAGCCTGAAAAGTCAGCTAACCCACGAGAAACATGACCCTCGACGGATATAAGAAAAGGGAAAGAATTGATTTCAATTCTCTCCTAATTTTCCCTAATTAAAAAGTAAAATCACAAGAAAAATTCCTATAGGGAGATAGAAAAGGGTAGTAAACTTGCTTTAAATTGGGTGAGGATTCTTATACCTTCCCTAAGATCGGATACGAAGAACGAGAATTTTACTCAATTACTACTATTTTTCGGGGAATTAATTGATAAAAATAAAAATAAAATCCAAACGACAGTGGGAAAAGCAGTTGGACCTTACGTCTTGGCCCTATAACATTTGTGTATACTTCGGCTACGTACTGAAAGCGAGGAAGTGTACCCTGCTGGTTTTTCTTGAATTTTTATTACTTAAACTATTAAAATTTCTCAAAATTAAAAGATATGGCTTAAAAATTCAAAAAAAGAGTACGTCTACTTTTTGTTTTTGATTCTTGTCTGGCGAACTAGGTCCATTGGTCGGGGGCGCGCTCGCTGGTGTAGCTGGTTGGAATCCCTCGAATTGAGCACGCACCTTGTATTCGAGGGAACTCGAGTAAAAGGCTTGCGTGATCCGAGTTCGAAATTATGCGCCCTTGATACATGGGCCACTCTAGGGCCTGTCTACGACTGAGGTAGGCAGCGCTTATTATAGGGACGACCTCGCGAACCCCATTCCAACGGGGGGAGGCGAAGCGCTGCAGAAATGTTTTGGATTTTTGGGCCCTTCCCTCCTCTATTTTTCTTAGGTTTTCCTATCCTATAGTGCATTACTCGGATGTGGCCACCCTTGACCGCCGAAGAATATGCAGTGGACTTGGTCTGGGAGGTAGAACCTCCCGAACTCGTAGAGGGGGACCGAATTTTCACACTGCCAACGCGGGTCACTTCCTGGCATGACGGTCGCTATAAGTGGAGATCTATCCTTCTGTGGCCAGGTGCCTGGTTGTGGATGTACCGTGAGCTCAAGAGCAGCCAGGGCCCAAGCGACGCACGTGGGAGAGGCCTGCCATACGGCGAGGTCAAGGGCTATTTGTACTTGAGTCCTAAGACGGCCAAGAAGGCCGCTCTAACTCTGGTGACGTGGGGGACCTGCAGGATTATCAGCTGGGCCGAACGATACCTCCAGGAGGAGATTGAGGCATTCCGCTTTGACGAGGAGCAAAACCCGATAGTCTTGCTTCACGGATTGCCTCCCCGCATCATCACAAGGGACCTCCAGGTGGTCCGGGATGGGTTTTCCCTCATTCAGGCCTTAGGCTGAGGACAATTGTCCCTGCATTCGTCGTGGATGCAAGGTTCGGAGGGTTAGGTGGTCCGGTAGAGGCCTACCTCACCACGAGGGAGCTCGAGCATTTCTCGAGGGGAGAGCAGGACTTCCATTATATTTATTACTCCCTGGTGATTGTCGGGCCTCGGTGGGGGGAGAAGAGAGTTCAACTTATAGAGCTGATTCGGTCCATTGCTCCCACCAGTGGCGATTTATGTGTGGGACCGTTCCCCGCCGTCATACGTCTAGGACTTGTTGGACCGCGAGCTCCGGGCGGGCCCGGAGTATCACGTAACATAGGCAAGTTCTTCTCTGAGGATTGGGGCTGCTGGTGGAGCCAGGATTCAGGGAGTCGTGATACGGAGCTCCCTCATATCCATTTACCAGCTAACCGAGTATTACGTGCATATAGGGGTGCCTGAGTATCGTGCGGTGGAGGACCTCGACGACGACGACGAGGAGGCCTGGGATCCTGATTGGGTAGACTCCGACAGGGAAGACGCCGAGTCTGGAGACGAGGACGACGTCTCGGCGCTCACTTCCCAAGGATAGGAGTCGCTGTCAGAACCTAGGCACATCGATAGGGCGACGGAGTGGATGTGGCAGAATATGACAGTGGAGGAGTTCCCCATCGTAGACCAGAGGTGGGGGTATGATCCCCCGGAGTTAGTGGAGGGAAAACTAGTGGAGTTCACCCTTCCCTCGCGACACATCCACGAGGACGACAACAACTCCGGGTGGTTATCGATACTCTTTAGGCCAGGAGTGTGGTCGTGGATCTACCGAGAGTATGACGGGTTAAGATATAGGGGTAGTCTCCTTCCACAAGGCCGCAGGGGAGAGGTGAAGGCGCTTCTGTACTTGAGAGCTGAAGTTGCAAAGGAGGCGACTCTATCTCTTGTCATCTCGGGATCATGCGTTGTTTGGAGCGAGCGATATCTCCAAGAGAAGATAGAGTCGTTTCGGTGGGACGAGGGGGACTATCTGAGAAGGTGGCCCGGTAGGTACCCCGTTACAGAGATCTCGGGAGAGCTCCGTATCGCGGGGCCGAGGGTTTTCCCTTTCTCGTACTGACAGTTGAGGACGACCGTACCCAGGTTCGTGGTGGATGAGCTGTTCGGCGGGATAGATGGACTGGTGGAGTCCTACTTGACCCTACAGGAGCTTAGCATTTTCTCCCGTAGCGATCTCGACACGGATTACATCTGCTACTCTCTATTGACTGGGAGTTCGCACTGGGGCGACGAGAGGCTCCAACTTATAGAGCTGGTGCGGTCTATAGCCCCCACTCCGTGTAGGGACTGGACTCAGGCGAGATCGATGGGCTGGAGACGGGCTCTGCCATTGTATGTGTGAGACCTGTTGGATCGAGAGCTCAGAGTTGGGCCAAAGTACGTAGCTTCCCTCGGACGACTCTTCGATGAGGATCGGGGTGCTTGGTGGAGCGGTGCTCTTCTAGCGCCGCACCTAGTCGTGAGGTATTACAAGAGGATAGGAGCGCCGACCTACGTCCGGGAGGGGGAGTTGCCCGAGGATGACTTGACGGACACTACCGAGAACGACCCAGAGTCAGAGGGAGAGATAGGCAAAGAGGACGAGGTTGCAACCAGGGTGATTCATTTTCCGAGGTTGGCCGTAGGGTTCGGAGCCTAGACGTGAGAGGGTAATTGGACGAGAGCGGCTGAGCGGAAGGGAGAACTGTCCGGCTCCTCCGGTCGAGGGGAGAAATTTGTCGGGATTTGACTGGTGCAAGATGGTTGAACTTGTAATAAAGGGGAAAGCAGCACAGACCGGAGGTGAATGCACCAATGAGGAGTGATTCGAGCGCGTGGTGGGCTTATCTGCTATTACGCAATTCTGACTCCTACAAGGCGAAAAGATTGACAAAACCCAGAGAAACTGCTCATGGGTTCGACATTCCCCTTCATGTGCGACTGGACGAGAGCGAGGGCGTGCCGCTTAGGTATACGGGGACGTGGATAGCGGAAGAAGTGTTCCTGTGGACAATGATCTTAGAGGTTGGAAAGGCGAGCGGAGCTAGGCAGGTGGGGGCAATCGGGCATCTTGTATTCGGCAGGTCGCAGGAGCTCGAGATAGGGCTAACACTTGTCGGCGTTGGTCGGAACTGGTGGAGGTACGTAGCTTTAGCGAGAGCTATCGTGATTAGGAAGGTGAGCACTCTAGCCGGAAGAAGTCAGCCACTAGTGCGCCTCATATTTGGACCCCCGAGGTCAGATCTCTACCCTGTGCAGGGCTGGAGGTGGGCCCTGCCCACATTCGTGATAGAACAAGCGTATGGAGGCGTCGACAACTTTAGCAGAGCGGTAAACGATACGTTTTACACTCTCGACCTGGGCTTAGCGCCTCGGTTTAAGGAGGCTTACTTCTCTGTCTGTGCGAGGTGGGGGCGACTTGATTACGAGACGCTAAGAGGACTGATCGACGCAACCTGTTGGGTAGATTGTCTGAGACCAGCTGATTTGATCGATTATTGTTGAAGGCGCATCGAGGATAAATATACGGGTTTGGAAGATCTCAGGTATCTTTTCGAGGGCTGTCAGTAGGAGGTATGCCAATTAGAACGACACCAGGAGTTGAAGTGAGCAGACAACTAGTGAATGAGGGCTTCACGGTGACCGTCCTACTCAGAGCACACATAGAAGAGAACTTGACAGAGCGAGAATGTCTGCAACGGGCTAGAGAGTTTATTGACGAACACCGGGCAGGGGTCCTCGCGTACGTGACCTTTCAAACGAAGGTAACGTATGAGGTCATCGTATGCTCGGCCGGATACTTGCGCGTAGAGTTGTTCGTTGACGAGACAGTAGCGGAGGCAAGGAGCAGGATATGAGTCAGATTGCATTGACATGACAGAGCGCGAGTCAGCACTGTGCCGACATAGACCCCGAGCTTCGTACTCGCTCCGGTGGGACCGCAGAGGTTCCGATGCTTGGAGGAGTGTGGATGATAGGAATCCTCGAGTGGTCGCTCACGGAGTAGTGACAAGCCAGCCTGTTGACGAGCGATATGAGCCTTCTTTGCGACGACTCCGTATGCGCGAGCGGTTTCTAGACGCTTAGCACGCGACGGCGCAACGCTACAGATTATCCTGAGGGTAAGTATAAATGAGGACCTGTCGGACAGCGAGTACAAAGTACTTGCGGAGGATGTCATACTGGAGCAGAGGTTAGGAGCACTGAGAGAAATAACGACACAAAGGTGGATGGTATATGAAGTGGTTGTCTGGGTAAAGAGGATTGCACTAATAGAGATAGTCCGAGACGAGACACCGACGAAAGCCCGGAGTAAGATGTGAAGAGGCCTCTGAACTTAGGAAGAGATGGGCAGTTGAGAATGGAAAATGTGGATGAGAGGGTGAAAAGAGTTGAGGAGCATGTTATAGAACCCTTTCTAAAGGGAGTCAAGGAGTTGGGCAACAAGATTCGGGATTGCGGAGCCAGCAAGAATGAGAGGGAACTGCGTAGAATAAAAGTAGTAACGAGGGGACTAGAGAGTCTCTTTGGAGAAGACTGAGAGCTCTTTGGGAGGTGGCGATTAGATTTCCTGGAAAGCGTGAAGACGAGAGATCGTAACGACAAGGAAACAGGGCACTCGTCAGGGTCGACAGGACGGGTGAAGGAGCCGCCAGAGGCTACAGATCCTAAAGGAAAGGAAAGTGAGGAAGAAGCAGCAGAACAATCATAGGAGACAATGACCGGCACGACTCAGTATTCCAATGAGAAGTTTTCCTTACATGTCGTAGGGAAGTTAGATGGATCGCTGACCTGTGTAGTGATGCAAGTAGAACACCTAGCGAGACTCGGTGTGATCGAGGAAGCAGAGTGCACTCGGGAAGCGGTGAGGGACGCGCGAGTGACCGGGCTCTGGATAGGAGTTGAAAATGGCCGTCTGATTAGATACATATTGTGTGTGTGACTCCTTTCGATTGGCCACCCTTGTTTAGATTGTGGCACGAGACACCGAGAGAGACTGAGAGACTCCTAGAAAAGGAGGCCAGGAGAGCAGGAGAGTTAGCCAGAGTAATAATTGATGGCGCTATTCTCAGGACACTCTCGGCACATAACTCGTACTGAAAGGAGTTTATTAAGACCCTAGAGGACATAGAGGACTTCGGAGACAACGACGACTTTGAAGCTTTCTACCTGGTCCTGCAAACATCCGCGGATAGGATATTAGTGGCGCTTGCTTTAGCTGGTTTAGAATGTTAGGTGACCAGCAAATGTTGCGCAAAAGATGAGCCTACCTCAGGAGGAGTTAGCGCGAAGGAGACAGAAGTTTGCGGGATGGAGCGGACCCCGTAATCCTGAACATGAGAAAGTACTGCAAGGCCTGAGCGCAATTAGCAGACGTGAGATCTTCCCCTATCAGGTAGTCAGGTACTAGGTAGCAAACAGCGGTTGGAACAGAAATCAATTTTATGAAATGACTGTACACTTTCGCGACCTAGGAGTACACCACATCGGGATATACTTGCCTAGGGAGCGGGCAGAGTTCTGTGTTTACACGAGGTGTTGGAGGATAGCTGCCTGGAAATCGAGGGAAGAGAAGAAGAGATTGGAAGATTTAGGGAAGATCGTCGAGGTCTGTGACGACATCTCGATTTTTGACGGTTTGCCTAGGCTGCCGATTACAGACAGAGGAGTAGAAGGGCATGGATGGGAGGCGGTAGTGAAGTTTGCTAGGACGGTCGGGACGAGGAATGGTCCCAAGAAATCAACAGGAAAGGAATAGGACGTAGGGATGAGGGAAGAGAGAATTATCTTTGATCGCGAGCTGGAGTTGAGGAGAGAGAGGTTTCTTGCCGGAAACCGATCGTCCGAGGAGAAACTAGGGACTATCTGTGGCCTGTTGAGTTCGCTAGGAAAACGAGAGGTGATCCCGTATGAGGTAGAGAGGTACGAGCTTGTATGGAGGAGGCGGAGGAAGTCCTTTGGGTGATCCGAGAGAGGAGAGCGATGGAGGGCATCGGATACCAGATGAGGTAGCTGAAACAATGAAGATAGGGGTAGACGGATTCTTAACGGAGGAAGAAAACCGCCTGATCAAGAAGACCTGCCAGGAGTTTCACCTAGCGTTTGCCTTTAGTGATCACCAAAAGGGGCAGTTGGACGGGAAGCTAATCCCTCCGGTCAAAATCCACACGGTAGAACATGAGTGTTGGAATGACAAGGGTCCGTCCTATGAATTTGGGATAGCGGGGGAAGTGACAGACCTCCTTCGAGCAAAAATGGACTCCTTCGTCGCAGAACCTACGACGTCGCCTTACGCAAACCGGTGCTTCGTCTTTCGGAAGCCCAACAAGACGCTGAGATGGATTCAGGATCTGCAAAAGTTGAATGAGGTAACCATCCGGGACGCTGGCTCACTACCTAAGGCCGATTTATTAGTAGAGTCGCTGAGCATTTACTCCCTGATAGATCTGTACTCAGGGTACGACCAGCTTCCATTGGATATTCGGGACAAGCCGTACACCGCAATGCACACCCCCTAGGACAATTGTAGATGCAGGTGACCCGTATGGGCTTCACAAATGCGTTTGCCGAAGCGCGACGGAGAATGCTCGCCGTAGCCATGGACATGTTCCCAGAGAAGTGTGAGCCCTACATCGAAAGCAATCCGATCAAAGGCAAGCAAGAGAAGGACGAGACAAAAGTCCATCCAGGAATCCGAAGATTTGTATGGGACCATCTACAGGACATCAAGGACTTACTCCGTCGTTTCCTAGTGTACAACATCACGGCTAGTGGACCAAAGAGTATTCTAGCAGTACCAAAAGTAACCATACTAGGATTTCGCTGCGGCGCATACGGCAGGAAGCCAGATCCGGCAAAGACGGACAAAATATCACAGTGGCCAACGCCCCTGCGCACGACGACGGAGGTAAGAACATTCCTAGGCGTGGTTGGCTTTTGGAGGATCTTCATTAAGAATTTTGCCAAGATTGTTGAGCCTATCCGGGCCATGATTAGAGAAGAAGGGACCCTGGACTGGACAGAGGAGCGAGAGGGAGCCGTCCAAACACTCAAGGACATACTGACGTCGGAGCGAGTCGCTTTGTCCGCACCCTGTTTTAATGACGAAGTAGGACAACCCTTCATCCTAGAAACGGATAGAGGACCCTTGGCCGTAGGAGGCGTGCTGATTCAAAAGGATGAGGAAGGAAAAGAGAGACTGATTAGGTTCGAAAGTAGAACCCTGAACTCCGCAGAACGGTGGTGCTTTTAGTTCAAGAAGGAGGTCCTAGCCATCACGCATTGCCTCAAGCCCTTCCAGGCCTACCTATTTGGGAGGCGGTTCATCCTTAGGCAGTTCGATTACAAAATCAAACGAATTGCGGGAATTAGGAACAAGGCCGATGGACTGAGTCGGGTCTGCATCACTCCCGAAGGGATGGAGGAGGCAGAGCCCATAGACGCATTCCTTGAGTACAAAGGAGGAACTCTTGCAGTGGATAACGAAACGATGAGCGAAGACTGCGAGTCGGGAGAGCTGTTGATCCGGACTTTGGAGAAAGGGGCACCTGCCGTAGTAGCAAAATTTAGAGAAGGACCAGTCACCACTCGAGGTCGCAAAGAGGAGAAAGATTCGTGGGGAGCGACAGTAGGACCGAAGGACGAACTAATAGCAATGGTGAGGGAGGTCGAGAAGCCGTGATGAGCTTAGTGGAGTCTTGGGAAAGGAAAGAGTTGCGATGGATGGTAAACCAAATGCAGGAGACAAAGGACGAGGACCAGGAAAGGAAGGAGTTTTTCTATGCCCAGGAAAGGAAGGAATCTTTCGGGAGATCGGGTTGTTGCTAATAGGAAACAAACAGCCCATGGAAGTCAACATTAAAGCAAGGGGGGAGGCCGAAAGATACGTCCTAAGGGGCGACTATCTGTTCCAAAGAGAGGAAGGTGTTATGCCTAGAAGAGTTGTGTACGGGAGATCTAGACAGTTAGATGTTATCCAGACAATGCACGACGGGTTAGCAGGAGGGCATGAATCGTCCAAAGGAACTCTTGCAAAGATAACGCCACTATATTATTGGCCAGGCATGGCAGGCATAGGGCCGAGACATCTGATCCACCTTGACCTTGCGGTCTGTATCAACAGATGGGTACAGGTATACCCTGGATGCGCGAGATAACTTAAGTGGGTTCGTGGAGGCGGACGCTCTCAAGAAAAAGACAGGGAGAAGTGTAGCGGACTGGATAGCAGACAATGAGACAGAATTTGTGAACCAAGAAGTATTGGGGTTGCTTAAGAGACTTTGCGTACCGATCAAACTCATCGAGCCATATCACCCGGAGACCAATGCACCTGTGGAAAGAGGGCACCGAACCTTAAAGAACACGATTGCGAAGCTCGCAGCAGACCATCTGGGGAGCTGGCCTAGGTATCTTAAGCAGGCTGTCTTTGCAGAGAACATGACCCCTAAAAGGACAACGGGATGTATCCCAGCAGAACTTTGGTATGAAAGAGAGATCGACTTTCCCGTGGAAGCCTTGATACCTACCTGGGACAGGTTAGATGATGATCCGCAAATGACCACGGAAGAGTTAATCGAGGCGAGGTGCCAACAAGTCCTTAAGAACGAGGAGGTCATGGAAGACATCGCCAGTCGGGTACTAGATAGCAGAATGAGGAACAACGCAAGGTGAGACCAGGTTAAGAATGTCAAAAAGGAGCCACTCCAGGTGGGGGAGACGGTATTGCTAAGGAACTCGGCATTAGAAAGTACTTGGTCCGGACAGCTGGGGAGGAGGTTCAAAGGCCCCTACCGGGTCGCCAAGCGGGCGGGACTGAACACCTTCGAACTGGAAGATTTGGATGGAACTGGATTGAAAGGACCCTTCCCGGGACAACGACTGGTCAGGTTTCTAAGTCGGGACCCAGTGGAACAATGGCTTCAGGAGGCCGAGGATAAGGAAACTGAGGGGCTACAAGCTAAGGAGTAACAGCGGCCGCCCACACTATGGTTCTGTCTCTGACTACGTTTGTGGGACTGTCATTTTTTTGGGGCGGGGGCAATGGTTTGGACTGACTGAGGTTGGAAGGAAGGATGACTTGGGGATTTACTGTAACGGGTTTGTGTGACAACGGAAAGAATTGTCAGAAGCATTGTATCATAGTTTTTGACGGGGAAATAATAGGACCATCATAAACGGGGCATTTGCATAAGGGAGGGAAATGTATAATAGTGGCTGGGAGCATTCTAGGGAAGGGGAACTGCCTACCGGACTGGGGAAACGGGTGTATGAGGGGCTTTGCGGGTGTTGTTTTGTTATACAGGACCTAGAAGAAAAACACAAGAAAAGGTAAAAATGGAATTCGGCAACGAGAATGACAACGGGGCTGTCAACAGGCCTACCGAAGGGGAAGAAGCGGGACTGAGTCGAGGGAGGAGGACGGCGAAGACAAAGTTGTACATAGGGCTCATATCCGGGCCAGTGGTAGGCAGGGGTGGAAGAAAGTGCGTATGTAGAAGACCCTCGCCCCTCCGGGAGGGAGAAGGTATATATATCTCATCTGGGAATGAGAGCCAAGAGGAAACGGCAAGTATGGGAGAAGGGGGCAATGCGGATTTAGGAGACAAGGCTCAGGCCTCTGACGAGGAAAGAGCCGAGAGGTATGAACAACGTGAGTCTTCGCATAGGGAAAGCGAGGGGAGACAGGACATGCGCGACGAGCGTGAGGACGGGGAGGAGAGAAGGGAAAGCCCGCTTGAAGGACGGAGCGGCCACGAGAGTTGTGAAGGGAGGTACCCGAGCGTTGAAGAGGGACATGGGACAAGGACAAAAATTCCCTATACCTACGATCCAAAGAACCTCACTGGCGGATATAGCCCCATACAGACGGAAGAAGAGGAGGATGAGGAAGAGGAAGTGCAGGAGGTCATAAAAATCAGCAGTGGGGATGAGAAGGATGAAATATCGAGGCCTAGAGAAGAGAGGCGGCCCCCAATACACCAGCCGCGCGAGGGAACCTTCAGATGGGAGGATGAGTTTGGGCCAACTCCCAGCCATTGGTTTCAACAGTGGCTCGGTGTGATCAAGCATGAGTGGATTGTCAAGACCCGGGAACTCGCGAAGACAGGGGTGGTGACCACACAGTTAGATTTCTACAATCAGATGGAGTTGCGGAATATTGCAAGGAGGAGAAGAGAAATCATGGCCTCCGGCCTGGGGTTTAGGGAGCCAGTAGAAAGACAAAATGGACAAGGGGCCGAGCAAGTTGAGGCACAAGACAACAATATGGATTAAATGTTGATCAAGCGTTAAACATGAATCTTGCTTTTTCATTTGCAAATATTGGAACGACAAGAATGTGTATAGTACGAGTAAGCTTGCTAAGGATGAGTGATGAAAGGGCCAGCTAAGACTGTGTCACAATAAGTAGAAGATAACATTTTGAGGCTACTTTCTGATGAGCTACCTTCGAAAGCGGGTATACAAGGCAATGACACGGGGCTTGGGATGAGACCGGTTGGGAAGGATGTATTGTGAATTTTGGATGGAATGAGGATTGTGTTTCTGAGAAGAGAAACTAGGTATTGGATGTTAGTCAAGTACAAGAGAGGCTAGGGAACCTATGGGTTAAGGGGTGTGAAGAACACTCCTTCCCTAGGAGCCTAATCCAACTGAGTCATGAATGAGTTTGAGAATAATCGAGACCTGAGTGATCAGAAAGAGTGAAAATAAGAGGGGGCGCCCCTGTCTTTTTGCTATGGGTAAACGACCGGGTGGGCTAGTGCTGCTTGGGGTCGCGAACCCCAACTCGAGTACTAGACGCTAAGTCGGATGTATGCATGAAACGGTAAATGTTGTGAAGAAATGGACAAAGGAAACTGCACGCATAAAAACCGAAAAGAGATGGCCACCTTCTAACCTCTGAGACAAAAATGGGATCCGTGTCCTCGAGCCCCACCCCCTCGGGCGCTTACATTGAGAATGAAAAGGAATGACCCTAACCAGGCTGTTCGACTTGAGAATGGAAAGGAATGACCCTAACCAGGTTGCTCGACTTGATAATGGAAAAG